TTTCTGAGGTTATAATACAAACAGCATTTTCTCATTTTGACTAATTTTTAATTTATGTGATAGTCGTAGAAAAAATATAATGTTCAACTCACAAGGTTTGATTTGCAGTATTCGCCTGCGCACATGCTTTTTTTATAATACTCTTAGACAATGAGTACCATTTTTTACTCGATTAACAATATTCTATTTCAACATTTTACTGTAGTCTCTTACAGAAAAGTCCGTTGTAAATAATTGCTAACGAAATGTTCTATAGAAGGTCTTCTCTTTACATAAAATGTCGTGGCATCTGTTTGATATTAAAAAATCACGTTAAATTTATTTTATAATACAAAATTCCATTGAACGTACATTTTAAATAAATCTAATAGTTCATTATGATGCTAATAAACAAAGTCCGGTCCCTGTCACAGAGTTCGGCCCTCTGTCCAGTTCCCCCACTCCGTTAACCTTTCTTTAGAAATTGGCAACATTTGCGCAGGTTAAACACCGGTGTATGTTATATCTCTGGTCTCTTTTATCTAAAATTTCAAATTAGCATTTAAAAAAAATTGAACGTTTTTAAAAAAATATTGAATTTGACCGATAACTAATGCAGTGCCTAGACAACTTTAATATGGGCTATTTTAAATTTTTAAAAAGTAGAGTTGAATGTCGTAAGACGTTTTTTTCCAAACGTAATGTAAAAAATTCCCATATGGATCAAATTATTTAACAACAGGAAAATATACTGTTTTGTATATACATACAGGGTGTCACTTTGAAAACTTTCAGTGGTAATATCTCACAAAATAAAAAAGTTGGAAAAACGCCGTTTGGCAGAAATGTTATAGAGTTAGGGGGAACTAGAACCACCATTTTTAAGTGAGCGGGTGAGTCACCCCTTAGACGCGACACACCCCAACTTTAAAATGTCAAATGGCACTACCCCTTTTGTGATACCTCAAATGAAAGGTCTCATTTAGTAGTATTCACCTGTACAAGAATTTTTTCTATTCAATACAAAAACAAAAAATTCGATTAAAAAAATTTAATATTTTATTTGATTAGATGTTCAAAATGCATTCCATTTTGTGCTAAACAATAGTATAATCGATTTTTAAATTCTGTTCTAACATTGTTGTAATGAAGTCAATTTTTCCTCAATCAGTTTATTTTCATTTTTCATTTTTAATAAATATTAAACGCAATTGATCTGTTGGTCCTGAGTTGATTTACAGGCGCGAACGCCGATCGAGTATCGCTGCGCGGTGGGACTGGCGTTGGTGGGGTCTCTGATAGGGAAAGGGAATCAGCATGCTGAACCAGGCCCATAGATAAATTATATATATATATATATATATATATATATATATATATATATATATATATATATATATATATAGTCCATTTTCAATTGCAGAACATAAAAACTCGTTCGGAACCTTTACCGACAATTTTGTTTGATCTGCCATATGCATAGATACCTACCTTATTTTATAAATACTTTTAATATGTATCATAATATGCAAGAAAGTATTTGTTAAAAGGAAATCGAATCATTATAAATTGGACGTTATTATACGCCTTGATTTAGACAGATGCAGTCTTACTTGGAGTTAAAAAAAATCATTATAGCTCGTTAACTTGCTACAACTGAATATTAAATTATAAAACGTAAAAAAGCGAGTAAAGTGTACCTGCCTGTAAGGGCGTTTGGTTTAAACAGGGTATCAGACGTAAACTGAGCCCTTTTTGTACCCCATTCGTTTTTTTTCTGGAAAACGAAATTTCAAAGCAAAAATCATAAAGGAAAATAAATTCTTTGCAAATAAAACAAAAAAAAAACAATTCGATTCTAAAGTATCTTTATAAATAATCATGGCAGTCTGAATCCTCTGAACTAGAGTCATCATTTGGTTGAATTATGATGGGTTGTAAGTTGTAAAGAGGGTAATACTACATACTCATCTTCTTCTTTAATAACATGTTCGACACAGTTTTTCCAAAGCTCTTGGCGGTCTACTGCTAGAACTTTCTTTACGAGTTCTACAACCTCTTTACTCAGTTCTGGAGACTGATTACATTTTCGTAATTCTGATTTTACGTTTGCCCATATTAATTCTATAGGGTTAAATATGCAATAGTGAGGAGGTAGTCTGAGAAGAGTATGACCCTGTTCTTTGCACAGCTTGTCAATATAATAATTTTTTTCCAACTTCATGCCTTTAATAACAGTAAGCAATTCTTTGTTTGTTGGGCCTTTTTTACGATCACTGGCAGGAATAGGAATATTTTTTCAGACATAAACGCTAAAATTTGAACTTTGTAACTGCTACTATTTGGTATTTTAAGGAGTTGCCGCGAGTGGTAGGAGGCGTTGTCCATAACGATTACTGACTGTGGTGGAATGTTAGGTAAGAGCTGTTCATTAAACCATTTTTCAAATAATTCTGCTGTCATATCTTCATGATAATCAGCTGCACAGTTTTTAATTTGTTTAGCAGATAATAATAAAGCATACGCTTCCCTTTAGAACATGGCCCATTCAAACAGCAATTTTTACTAATGTCAACCCAACCGAAATTTACTACATCGTGACTGTGAAACCATGTTTCATCTAGATAAATTATGTGTCTATTAGAACTTCTGTACTCTTTTATCTGACGCAAATAATCTTGTCGCCATTGAACTATTATTGACGATTCGGTAATTGCCATCCGTTTATTCAATTTTTTGTGTTTAAAACCACATGCTGACAAAACTTGACGCAATGTTTCCAAACTGGTATAAGTGTATCCTGGAAAATCTTCTACCTTTTGCTGTATTACTTCCAATGTTGAAACCCTGTTCTCCTTATATAAACTATAAGTTGTCCTTCGTTTAAAATCTTGGGTAGCTCTGTCAACTGATTTCAGTTTTTCTTTACATGTTTTTCGGTTTTGTGAATGATCCACAGCAACCCCTTTTGTGACTACCCGATAAATGGAAAATTTATTTACTTTAGTTAATTCAGCAATTCTTATTATGATGGCATTATCAGACTGCTGAATATTTTCCTTTTTTAAACATTCGAATATATTTAAAATAACTTGTTGTGTTTGTATATCTAAATCCTTATTGTTAAAGTCATACCTGTCTTTAATCTCACTACACTGTGCAATTTCATTTTCTTCATTCGCCCACGGTCTAAAGAACGCCATATTTATATTTATTAAAAGAAATTTAAATTAAACCAACCACACATACAAAACACACCGCACGACAGTACTCCACTGATATCGCAGACTGTCTTCCAAAAATATTTTCGAACATTCCTGCCCTCCGTAAACCTTCGGCTAATACAGTGCATTTAAGTTTACGATTCGATGTTTTCATTGGTAAACAACGGAGATGATGGATTTTGACACATATATATCAAGTACACGTGGACTGACCGTTCGTTTAATATTTACCGCATTGTATAAGGGGAGTAAACATTTTTCGTTTCTAAATTTGGCATGAGTGCCGTGCGTATATATTAAATATTGATGATTCCCCACATAACTGTGTTCTGCAATTGATAATGGAAGGACTATACGTACCCGATAAATTCAATGCTATTTTTTATTCTCAGATAAGTGCTCCAAAATTTTAGAATGGAATTTGAAGTTTTTTTTTGTTTACAAAAAAATGGAATGCATGTTGACCACCTAATGAAATAAAATATCATCTTAATAACAATAACGGAGTTTGAAAATCGATTGTACTATCGTTTAGAAATAAATGGAATGCATTTTGAATTATCTGATCAAATAAAGTACCATTTTAACAAAATACAGTTTATTTTATTCGAATTCATGTTTTTGAATTCTGTATTGAATGGAAAAAAATTCTTGTAGGTGAATACTACTAAATGAGACCTTTCATTTGAGGAATAACAAAAGGGTTAGTGCCATTTGACATTTTAAAGTTGGGGTGTGTCGCGCCTAAGGGGGTGACTCACCCCTTCACTGAAATATGATGGTTCTAGTTCCCCCTAACTCTATAACATTTGTGCCAAACAGCGTTTCTTCTTTATTTTGCGAGATAATCGCATTGAAAGTTTTCAAATTGACACCCTGTATACATCACCCTTTCTTTCTGCGATACAGCTAATCTTCAAAAAACAGTAGAAGGATGCCTGAAGGGTGAAAAAACAGCTCGGAAAATACAAAAAGTGCAAAAAGAAAGATTTACTAAAACTGTGCAAATCAGGTGTTACACCCTTATTATTACAATCTACCTGTATCCAATAATGTTAAAGACACGGTACCTGAATCTTCCATTGAAGATAGTTACACATACCTTGAATATTATGACCCTGTATGTAGACAGCTAAAATAAGCTAAGTGACTTTTTTTACCAATCGATGGATTCTTAGTTTATATTTTGTGAAGACTAATTATGTTTTGAATGCTTTTTCTTTTATTGGAGTTAATGTTTATTAAACAGTTTGAAACTTTTACTGATTTTTTATTCAATTTTAACCTTTAATTTAAACAGCATTTTCTGACTTAGAACTCTAAAAATGTAGTTATCTTGTCTTTGCAGTGAACAAACGGAATGTATTTATGTTTTGTTTTATTTATTAAGAGTCCCCACTAACTAACTTTAAATGGATGGCCTGAAAAAGAGTCATTATCCAAAAACATTGTGGCCCGTGTAACATATCAAACATACGAATGTGGCCTAAAGAAAAAAAGGTTGAGTATGGTTGATCTATACCGACTTCGCGAACTATATAATGTCTTATTAAAATCGCAAGTTTACAAACTTTGTCGTATTTGTAATAAATTGAGTACACCAACTTATTTAATAGTAGCTTTAAATGTATACGTAAAATGACTGTCTAAACTCTGTATTTTTTTCTCATACATTATGTTTGACTGGATATTTATAATATTTTCTCTATACAATAATTTGTATATTGTTGTTATTCCCACTCTGTAATTGGTTTCTGTTGAGTGGTGTAGAAATAAATAAAATAATGTTGTCTTTACCTTTTCCTTTGACACTTTTGTTTGCTGGTGGTAAAGTTGGGACTAATAACGTATATGTTGGTACTGTAGAAAGCGTCTGCAAAAATATACACCCAGATAACTCTTTGTAAGGCTGTACACGTGCTGTTAAATTGACAATTTGATTCTGTCTTATATTTAAAACCCTTTCTCTCTCTTCGCAAGTCTAAAAATAAATAATCATGCATAGAATTCAGGTAGGAATAAAGCCTTAAATAAAATTAAGTTTAATAATTATTCTTCACTCGATTAGGTCTGGTTGAAAATAAAAAACACTAGTCTAATACATTCAGAAGCTACCTAGATTCTAAAAAAATTGTTATAGAAGCAAGACAAAAAATTAATTCAAACGGAAATTAGACCAGTCCGGCCCCTCTATGTTACAAATGAACTGGACAAAAACTACTTAAGGAGTGTATTACCTATTTTGTTCGTTCTAAATAGATTTGGTTTATACAGGGTGGACCAATCTTGTGGAAAAGTTCGATATCTTCCTTGTTGAAAGAGATTTTAAAAAAGTGTATTAAAAAAATTATGGACATGTTTGAGGTTAACATTTTAAAATTATTGGGAGGTATACAGGATGTTGCATAGCTCGTGCACGAACCAAACATATGTTTTTTTTAATGATAACCCCAGTATATTATTTTAGATTTTGTTTACTCATCTTTTTTCCATCCTTCTAATATATGGTTTATCTATGTTATATAGGGTACTTTTCAAGGAATTTACATTTTTGTGAGAGAATCGTACATAATTCAACGTCCAGCAGCCAATTACACACTGTAGAAAAAAAAATTTTTTACCCACACGAATTTTATTTGATGTATTATACTTTTTTTTAGTTATATTTTTATTATCTGTTTATTTGTATACAGGGAGACTCAATACTCAGACCCTTGATTTTCTTGTTTTATTTAAATGGGACACCCTATATTTTATATCACCAGTAAAATCATATGTTCCATGCCTTTCATTTTTATATAAAGCATTCCCTATACCTAAAGTTAATATGTATCTATATTTTTTTTACAATAAATGAAAATTATGGTTATTTCGATAAATTAAACTAGTTTTTCATAAAATACTCTTTATAAACAATAATAAATAATATGTGTTATTTTTATCTAGTCACCAATGCATTTAATATACCTGTCACCGTCCAGTTGACAATTTTGACATTTTAAAAATCAAGAGCAACTGCCTGTGGGTTAATGTTTTAAGTAAATTACTTATAATAAGATGAACAACACGAATTTTTCTATCCCAGAAATGGTGGATATGATTTATATACTAGGTGAGTGCAACAAGAATTCTTTACTTGCCTCCAGAGTGTACCACCAACGATATCCGGAACGCCGGAAACCAAATAAAAAGGCGTTTGAAAAATCAATGGACCGTTTTAATCGTACTGGTACTGTATCATACGAGCAAAAACAAGTAACAAAAACTGCTATCACCGGAAGAGAATGAAATGAAAGTATTGTTGAGTATTTATGATGATCCGCATATTAGTAAACGAAATATTTCAAGACAACAAGTCAGTTACGGAACTGTTCAAAGAATCGTATCAAAACATAAAATGCATCCTTTCCATATCCAGTTACATCAAGAACTTCTTGAACGGGATTTTGAAAATAGAGTGATATTTTGTGAATGATCCCAACAAAAAATTAATCAACAAAGAAATTACTTTGATTTTGTGCTCTTTGGTGATGAATCGACTTTTCATAAAAATGGAGGTTTAAATAGGCATAATTTTCACTATTATTCTACAACATACCCACACATTATAGTCACTCATAGCCAAATGAGTTGGTCATTAAATGTTTGGGGTGGCATTGTGGGTGATTATGTGATAGAGCCACACTTTTTTGAAGGACGAGTAAATAGTGCAGTATATTTGGATTTCCTTGAAAATCATTTGCCTACGTTACTTGAAGATGTTCCCCTTCACATTCGCCAACAAATGTGGTTTTTGCACGATGGTGCACCAGTCCATCACACTGTAGTAATTCATAATTATTTAAATAATCACTTTCCAAGACGGTAGATCGGAAGAGGAGGACCGATAGGGTGGCCAGCGCGATCACCGGATTTGACAAACATTTATTTTTTTCTGTGGGGTTAGGTAAAAAACAAAGTATATAATGTGCCTGCAACGACAAAAGAGGACATGAAAACTCGAATCAGAAATGTATTTCAAAGTATTGATGTTCAAATGCTGAGAAATGTGAGTCAGTCATTCGAAATTCGATTACAAAACTGTATTGATGTTATGGGAGGTCACTTTGAACAACTTTTATAATTATGTTTTAATTGTTTTGTTTGTTTTTGAGTTTTTTTTTGTATTCACACATATTATTTATGCCTTTTATTTTGGGAGGTATACAGGGTGTTGCATAGCTCGTGTACGTACCAAACATATGTTTTTTTAATGATAACCCCAGTATATTATTTTAGATTCTGTTTGCTCATCTTTTTTCCATTCTTCTAATATATGGTTTGTCTTTGTTATATAGGGTACTTTTCTCAAGGAATTTACATTTTTGTGATAGAATCGTACATAATTCAACGCCCAGCAGCCAATTACATACTGTAGAAAAAAAAAATTTTTACCCACATGAATTTTATAATATGATGTATTATACTTTTTTTAGTTATATTTTTATTATCTGTTTATTCATATACAGGGAGACTCAATACTCAGACCCTTGATTTTCTTGTTTTATTTAAATGGGACACCTTATATTTTATATAACCAGTAAAATCATCTGTCCCAAGCCTTTCATTTTAAAATGTTAACCTCCAACCTGTCCATAATTTTCTTAATACACTTTTTTAATATCTCTTTCAACAAGGAAGATATCGAACTTTTCCACAAGATTGGTCCACCCTATATATGTTTCGCGTTTCAATTCCGAATTTGTATTATTACTTAAAACTTACTTTATTTGATTTGTATACTGCTGGCCACTGATCATCTGTGTCATAGTAGAGTAAAAGATTTAGATCTCCTTGGTCTTCATTGAAATCAATCTGATATTCAAATTGCCCTTCTTCGGATAGAAAGCAAAAACGTGTCAAAAATGCCCAATTCTAAAAGAGTTTTTTTTAAATGCAACTTGTGGATATATACAAAATAGAATAGGCCTGTTATATGAAATTATTGATTCTTGGTTTATAAAAATATTTTTGTTTATAATGTCTGCAGAGGAGAGAATAAGGGAAGTGCTAGATTGATTTAAGTCGGTAAAATAATAGGTCGGATCAATTTTTTTACATAATAATTACTTTATTGAAATGAAAAAAAAATATATTTTTTTAAATTAAATTTAAGTGCATGTTGTCTTTTGTCTTATTTCAAATACTAAAAATCCATTTTATATACTTTCATTCTTTCGATAAAATAATTGATGTAATTGCATTTTTGTTCATACTTACCTCACTAGTTTTCAATTCCCCTTCAATATATTTACACTCGGTATTAAAAATAAACGCAAACGCAATTAATACAAATTTAAACATAATAAATAAAAAACGTAGGTTTGTAAAAAAGCCGATTATTGCAGCTATGTACCCTTGGAAACAAATAAGAGGGAATATCGATATAAAAAGTGTTGTCATAGTAACGGCCTTTACAACTATTCAGATTTGCTTCTTACGCCCTTTACTAACCGAAATAAAACATAATCGGATACTAATTAAATACTCATACACATATTATGAACGAATGAATATAGTTAGGTAGGAATAGATGAGGTTTTTTTATTTAACACTAGCTGTTGCACGCGGCTTCGCACGCTTGGAGTCGTGTTTTTAATATAATATAGTTTAAAAAACTAAAAAACACGCTTTTAGAGCATATCAAACTAAAAAGTTAAAAATAATTTTTTTAACACGCTTTTATTGAAATAAGCTTAAAACAATAATAAATGGAAAATACTAGTATTATTGTGAAAAAAGCGTCGGGCGCTCGATGTACGAGAAATATGGACAAAGCTCCCCACCCTTTTTTCACAATAATACTAGTATTTTCTATTTATTATTGTTTTAAGCTAATTTGAATAAAAGCGTATTAAAAAAATTATTTTTAACTTTTTAGTTTGATATGCTCTAAAAGCGTGTTTTTTAGTTTTTTAAACTATATTTATTTTTCACTTTTTAGTTCGATGTATTATAAAAGCGTGTTTGTTAGTTTTTTTAAACTATATTTATTTTTTACTTTTTAGTTCGATTAATTATTAAAAAAAAAAAAATTGTAAGTTGAAATCTGAAAAAAAAATTATTTTTTTTTTTCAGTCGTGGGGATTAGATCCCACGATCGGTGAGTCTGGCAATCGAAAACCCGCGCCTTAGACCGCTAGGCCAACGAACGAACTTGACTTAGTGGGATATATACTGACAGTAATAAGCCACTTGAGTCCAAAGGAAAGTTATAGAGAAAGTAAAAGTTGAAAAGTCTTTTGGTAGGTAGAGAGGGGGTAAACGTCAAACCACGTCGGGCGGCTCCGAGAATTTCACAGTAATGTTTACTTGCCAGTGTCGTTTCATAAAATAAGTAATTTTAAATGTTTTGAATATAAAATAATTTTTTTAACCACTTTGCTCTGGATTACAGATTGGCACAGGTGCAATTTGGTAAAGTACAATGTTGTTACATGTCTTTGGAGCATATTTCATTTTGTTATCAGATGGCGGTCCTAATTTGCAGTGGGCACATACTTTGATTTTCTTTTACTATACGGAGAATGGTCGCACTGCGCAGCTTTCTGAGTGCCTTTTAAAAGGAGATAGACAACTCCGCCATTTTGAACCCTTATTACGTGTTGCCTACATCTTGGCGCAATATTTTTAATAGGTGCATTTTAATCATCCACTTCTGCTTCGGAATTGTCGGTTTTCTTGTTTTAATCTGACAGGTTGAAACACATACTTTGATTACTATACGAGGCAAGAGAGAGGTCCGACACGCCCAACATAGGGCGCGGCCATTTTGAACCCTGTGACACAGTTTACAGCTAAAGAATCAGATCGCTCACTCTGCGTCGGCACTTTGGATCTCAATGTTTCAGTTTATACACTGTGCAACTCGGATAATACAATTTATGACAACCGCCTATAATAAAACAGTAGTCTTTGACAAGGGGGGTAGCCATGTGTGAGTTGAGGTAATTTTAAGGT